CGCCTCACCGAAATAACGCCTCTCCCCGCGCGTACCCCGCCCCGTAAAATAATAATGGGCTTTTTTCTCTCCCATGCGCGCTCATCCTCTCTCCCTGCTCGCTCCTTTTCTCTCTCTCTCTCCTCGTCTATCTCGTCTCTCGTCGTCTCTCTCTCGTCTCTCACTCCTCTCTCTCTCTAACCTCCCATTTCTCTCTATTTCTCTCTCTCTCTCTCTCTCTCTGCATGCGCGCAGGCGTCTCTAACCCACCTCCGGTCCATTGTCTCTCTCAGACGGTCGCACGAGCTGCCGGTCTCCCCTTACCCTGCCTCTCCCTTCTACTCTCTTTCGCCCTCATAAACCCCCCGACGCCTATCTCTGTCTGCTCGTACCTCGTCCTCCCGGCCGCCCCTTCATTTCTGCGCCCTCTCCTCTGCCGGCCCCCTGCTCTCCGCATGCCTCTCTTTCCCGACTCTTCTCACGCCCTTCGCCTCTCCCTCTCCTCCCCGGCCCCTCACTCGCCGCCGGCCGCGGATGCGGGCGCTAAATCGTAAAGTTTCAATTAATTTTCGGGCAGCTAATATGTTGATTAACAGGCGGGGAGAGCGGGTAGGTGGGGTGGGGGGTGTAACGGCGGCGGCGGCAGCTGCTCGCCTGTCACTTGAAGCGCGGCGGTGGGGTAAAGGGTTAGCGCGGTCACCTGGGAGCAGTCGACACCAGCTGTTGTGTGCTGCTACGTGATTCGATCGCGTTGCCCCGTGTGTTAATGTGATCTGCACCGCGTACGGTGCGAAAACTGATGCTGTCAGCGCCTGCTGTTCACACGTTCACTGTTCACGTGTGTGTGTGTGTGTGTGTGTGTGTGTGTGTGTGTGTGTGAGAGAGAGAGAGTGTGTGTGTGTGTGTGTGTGTGGAAGAGGAGGGAGGAAGAGAGAGAGCGAGGGAGAGAGAGAGAGAGAGAGAGAGAGAGAGAGAGAGAGTGAGACAGCGAGACGGAGAGAGAAGGAGAGAAAGCGCGCGTGCGTGTGCTTGTGTGTGTGTAATGCCGAGAAACGAGTTGAGAGCGAGGGGGAGAGAGGGAGAGAGAGAGAGAGAGAGAGAGAGAGAGAGAGAGAGAGAGAGAGAGAGAGAGAGAGAGAGAGAGAGAGAGCGTGTGCGTATGCGTATGCGTGTGTACGAAAGATAGAGGGAACGAGAGAGCGCGTGCGTGCACGCGCGTGTGTGTGTGTGTGTGCGCGCGTACGCGTAAGTGCGTCTGTGTCTGTGCATGTGCACCACCTATATACTCCATGCTCCAGAGGGTTGGAGAAACACCGGACACCGGGTGCATGGTGCCTGACAGCGTTATCAGCTATCACACGGATCGGTACCGAACCTTACGATCCGCTCACATATTTACTCTATATTAGACCCTTTATTATATCACGGTTCTCTATACTATACCTAAGTTGTTGACACTAACTAACGAGCTAGACGCGCGACGAAATTCCGTTTAATTCCGTTTTCACGACGAAATGACGATTTCTCAATCCGAATTCGGAACATACCCGCAAACACATGACACGGCTTATCCGCATACGGAATAAAACTGTAAAAAATTACCACACTGACTATCCGAATCCGGATTATAACAGTGAAGATCGCAACATTCCGTATATAAATCCGGAATATAACCGTAAAAACATCACACTGCATATCCGAATCCGCAATATAACTGTAGGCATACAAACACCACGCTATATATCCGAATCCGGATTACAACAGTGAATATCGCAATGGCCGTATATAAATCCGGAATATAACCGTTATAAAATCACACTGCGCATCCGAATCCGGAATATAACAGTAAAAACATTACGTCAAGAGCGTATTAAGAAGGTCTTAATCCTTCTTAATACGCTCTTGATTAAGTATACACTGCCTCTCGATTAACTCGGATCCCACACAGGAGCGCAGCGAGAGTGCGTGGGCGCAGAGAGTAATATAATTAATCTAGTATTAATATATTCTCTATCAGGGGCGCATGACCGCACCGTTGTACACGAGCGCCACTTCTCCTAAACATTGCCATAATCAATTTAATATAGAGAGAGGCGCATGCGACATATTGCCTTTTATGTACGCTAATCTTGTGCAATCACACATCGACGCCCCCCAAACATCCATCATAATATGTCATATATAGGATTAATAATTTACGCGGGAACGTAATATATCAGTCTACTATAGTAGCAAGTGCACGCTATAGCAACGTACAGCCGTGGCTGTGCTTACCCTGCATGCAGGGAGAGAGGGGAAGAGGGGGAGAAAGGGGGAGGGAGAGGGAGGCTGGGAGCAATTGAGATGATGTTTGCTCAAGGAATATCGCCTGTTAGAGAATGACGGTATTTATCGTAGCGTACTATAATAGCCGACTCCCGTATACATATGCTATTACCAGGAGTGTATAATATAGACTCTATAGAGTCTATAGACTCTCTATATATAGAGAGAATATTATACACTCATGATATTATTGTATTTGCTATGAAACGATAGATACCACCATCATAGTCGGACCGCTGGTCTGTTAGTGACAGCTACTCTAACTCCAACGTCAATCTGCTGGTGGTGACTGTTTGCGTTCTGAGCAATAATGTCTGAGATGGCTGTGTAGCGAGAACCACTCGCTGCCATTAACTCAAATAGATGTAGTGGGCGGAGGAGGAAATGGAGAAGAACAAGAAGAAAAAGAAGAAGAAGAAGAAGAAGAAGAAGAAGAAGAAGAACAAGGAGGATACTGATGTAAAAAGGGCGAGGAGAAGGAGAAGGATGGGAAGGAAGGGCAAGCTGACGAGAAGACTGGGGTGAAAAAAGGGGAGAAGAAGAAGGGGAAGAGAGAGAAGAGGAAGAGGAAGAAGAAGAGGGAGAGTAGGAGACGGACGAGGAGAACGACGACGACGAAGAAATGAAGAATCGCAATAGAGAGAGAGAGAGAGAGAGAGAGAGAGAGAGAGAGAGAGAGAAAGAGAGAGAGAGAGAGAGAGAGAGAGAGAGAGAGAGAAGGAGAGAGCGAGGAGAGAGAGAGAGGAGGGGGAGGAGGAGGAGAGAGAGAGAGAGAGAGAGAGAGAGAGCAGAGAGGGAGAGAGAGAGAGGAGAGAGAGAGAGAGAGAAATGAGAGAGAGAGAGAGAGAGAGAGAGAGAGAAAGAGAGAGAGAGGGAAGGGTTATCAGATGAAGCTAAACGTTGAAAAAACGGTAAACACGTAATGAGGGTAAATCGTGAAGTACGGTAGTGAGCAGCAGATGAGGTTTAACCCACGAGGGTAGACACGCTATAAGGATAGAGCCAAAATGGGGAGCGTAGGAGAATGAACAACAGACGTGGGTCAAGCATCAGCGTGAATGACCGCAATGCACCACAGGAGAAGAGCCGCGCTGGGTGCTTACACGCTCTCTTCGGTCTCACTTCACTCACTCATGGCACGATAACTATGGTCCTGGCTACAGCGGAGTGGAATGAATCTACCGCTCCTCAGTGTCTACTGACGAGAGTGAAACTACTCGGTGAAATTGCTGACCGCTGGCTGATGAAGTGATCATGACCAGCATGCGTTTTTTTTACTGGCGAGAACCTTGTTTCCACTCTCGTAGTTTCGTTCTGCGTCGCTAGGGGGACGGTAGCGGCCGCAAAATGGCGTCAAGCCTTAGAGGGAAATCTAAAGATATTAGATTCACCCCCACTCGCTATGGCCGTCGGTCCAAAGTTAGCCTGAAGGTACTATAAACGAGTGGATTGAAACTGATCTGGGCCGAGTTGTGGGCATATCGTGCGAGAATGATCTATATAGACCAGCGTGAATGAGTAGAGGGTCTCTTCTGTTTAGTAGACGTGTAAACAGTCAACATGCGGTGAAATGTATATCTTTATGGCACCATTTTTTCATAACCTCAATGTGTCTGTCTGCGCACCACATGTACGCGAGAAATTACATGTTTTTTCTTCGTCTTCTTCTGAAAACGTGTCTCTAATAATGCGAACATAAGACTATCCTATACACGTGTTTCCTGTGGCCGTGACAGAAATCAATACGCCATAGCTGTGAAACCCATGTGCTGAATAATAACTAGCATGGAAACTTCGAGACAAAAGGCGCTCGAATTTAAATTTATAATTCGCTCAACTCCGATATAATTCAACGTAAATAATAGCGATACAGTCTTACCACTTCCCCCACTTCCATCCCGTCTACTGGCAACAAACAACTGTGAAACTGTGTGTGTATGTATGTGTGTACGTGCGTGCGTGCGTGCGTGCGTGCGTGCGTGCGTGCGTGTCAGCGTGGGTGCATGCGTGCGTACGTGCGTCCGGGCGGCGTGTCTTTGTATATAATGTATATTCGATAATGAAAAGGCAATCGATAAATTGTTTTTTTCGGGTCAAGCAAGGGCTACGCGAAGCTTCCAATATGCCCGCATGTCACACGTCCCGTGGTCGCGCACGAACACCCGCAGGCTGTACATCACACCGTAACACAAGGCCGACACTACTACACAGATGCAATCACAGATTATCACGATGGCATAATACACGAAACAAGGAGTCCTGCCTACCATCACACACCGAGTAACCGGTATCCCCACATCGGGGTCAACACGGGGGTCATTTTTAACATGGCGTCACCTATTCACAGCGAAGCCCTGATAAGCAAGCATTGTCTAGTGGAATAACCTCTCGTCACTGATTTATATATAACATTTATCAAGAGCTAATAATACGATATTAGCTCAGGTATTATTCAGGTATTATTAGTTCTTGTAGTTATCAAGAGCTTATAATATTATGCAAGAAGTATTATGAGCTTTTCTAGTATATAGATCAGTGCCTTCCGTATTGCTGAGCCATGACTCTTGTTCCACAGACATCGAACGAGATCGAGACATCGAAACATCGAACTACGTAACCGCAGCGCGGATAGCGTGTATAGAAGAAGATAAAGAGATATAGAGATACGATATAGTGTTCGTGATCATCATGCTTACCTCGACTCCGTAGAACCTGTCGAACATGGGCGTGTACTGCGTCATTCCCAGCGACAGCAGCCATTTGTCAATCTCAATGTGCGGCACGGCTTCCTTTGTTGCCATGACAATGCGGTCGAGTGGCGTCAGCTTTATGCTCTCATAATCTGAAAATTGAAGCGACACGCATCTTTATAGCATCAAATCGACGATGTTTTCATTTTCGAAGTTTCTGCAGAATTTCATTCTGAGCTCCTTAAATCCGTCGGACAATATCGCGCCGCTCCGCTCGCATAGGCTTGCTCCTCATATGTAAGAAATGCGGAGGAATTTCCAGATCATATAACAGCTAGTAGCAGCGTTCGGCACAGCCTCCGGACGTCCTGCTACGATGTAAATCTTTACGTTTTACGACATGGCGTCCGTCCGTTTTCTCCATGAAACCAGACCATCGGTTATTTCCTCGAGGAAAAGTTTTTTAGTAGCAGAGGATTCTGTCGGGAATTCATTGGCAGAGCGCGCCCGCTTGGCAGGATTAGTAGAGGAGATCTTGCTAGCAGATTTACACTTGTCATGGCAGAAGCTGACGCAAAGCGACCGGGTAAAGTTAAAGAGCGGATGTGAAAGTTCAGCGAGAGAGTCACACCTATGCTCGGAGTGATGCGCGGGGAATGAGACACAGAGTCGAGGCACGGGGATTGGGACACGGGGATTGAGACACGGGGGTTGAGGAGGAACGGGAATTGAGACACGGGGAATGAAGAACGTGGATTGAGGCACTGGAAAGGATGCATGGGATCGTGACACGGAAATTGAGGCATGGGGGATGAGGCACTAGAAATGATGCACGGGGATTGAGACACGGGGAATGAAGAACGGGGAACGAGGTAAGAGGTGTGGTTTGAGGCATGCGGTGTGGATTGCGACATGTAGTGTGTGCTGAGACAAGCACGTGGTGTTCGTTGAGGCATGCGGTGTGGTTTGAGTCACGTGGCGTCGGCTGAGACACGCGGTGCGAGTTGAGGCACATGTATGCGACAGGCAGGCCTGGGAGAGCGCGAGGCGGTCACGGCTGACTAAGACACGCTGAGAAACAGTTGATTGAGACACGCTGAGACACAGCTGACTGTGACACGCTGAGACACAGCTGACTGAGACACGCTGAGACACAGCTGACTGAGACAGCGGCAGCACCAGGTTGTAACTACGGGATGCTGGGGGCTGTTGGGGATATTAGGTAAGCACAGTAAAAGCACTTGTTTTGCATCCTTATCATCAGGAACACGATGGCAACACGGCTAAAATCAGCTGCTAGCTCGCCGTGAGCACACATTTATTTCTAGTACGCTGGAAACGCTACACGCTTAATACAATTCGATGCCTAATATCCCCAACAGCCTCCAGAGTTCCGTCATAGACAATAGAACACTAATCCGATAATAAACTTGCGCCGAACACATGCGAACATTTGGGAAAACTGTGTGAAACCGTGTCGTATTCAAAGAACTTTTTTGAAGAACACGTACGATTTTCAGGTAAATTGGTGGTGTAATATGATTAAGGGAGAATCATAGACGAAAACAAGGTAAAGTTTGAATATATTTATTCACATATTGATAAAATATTTACAACTTGAAAACTATGCAAAACGCTGTTAAAACGGTGTCATACTCTTCTCTATTATGGGCTATTGATATTATTTCGATGGTAGTCACACCTTTAGACTGACTCCATGTAGTCATTGATTAACACGAAGCTCGCGCATCGGTTGCAGCCAGAGGAAAGCGTGGGGTCAGTCTGATAGCAAAATAGCAAAATCCTAAAGCAGTAACCGTAACCATTTTATAACATCGAAAACACCAAAACCCCGATCGCATGCTATTGTTATTACGCAAAATCCCAATCAATGGTTTTTCCAATACGCCTTTCTTAGAAAAATTCAAACCCATATATATATATATATTTATAATCAAGGTAGTACTTTTAGCTCTTGATATCATTACGTGTCGTTGGTGACACACTGTAAGGACACGCGTCACTGTTCGGCTGACTAATACCACGATGCTGCCGCTAATACAAAGCTAACGACCGCAACAAAACCATCGGGATCAATGACAGAAACTCCACGCGTATAGCGTCATCATGACACCGCTGCCACTACAATATCAATTCCGGGTGCAACGACGCGTCATCAGTCACCAGCAGTTCTCGGTCACCGGCGGCACCCCCGGGGGATGGAGGGATCGGTATGGTTGGGGGAGGGGGTCCCCGGGGGGAGGGGGACCGCTTGCTCCATCATCAGGCCCCTCGCATTACGCACAATTACCCATCTTTCACGCGGGTAATGCGGTCCTGCCGTTAGCGTGCACGCATCGCGTCGCAGCAGTCACAAGTAGTAGTAGTAGCAGCAGCAGCAGCAAACTGGTTGAGTCCTTATTGCGAACATGGCTTCAGTGAATAGAATTACTCATTCGCGTTCCGCTCGGAAACATAGCCCGATACAATCACTGGACAGAAATCAAACACAAACGAGGCACGAGTCCTTCGCCGGTATTCGATAACCTTCGGAAATCATTCGGAATTCGCGCGTAGAATCATCACGTGACTCATGTGACATGAACTCAGTCGTACGTCGGTATATGAACGCAGCAAACGTGTTACACACACGCGCGCGCGCGTCTGCGGGTTACGCTGATATTTACACAGGTGGCGCTTAAAGCGCTGTGACACGTCGAACCAATTTTCACTATTAACCGCCCGCCGGTATAGCCTTGGCCAGTCGGAAATAACCCGAGTCAATGTTCGGCAAAGATCGGAACCGCTCGGCGATTGTCTACATTGGGGTTCGTTGATCCTGGTATGCTCTCCCGGCATTTATTCACGACTGATCCCCGAGAACAAGCAACCGTATCTTGTAGCATGGTTTTGTACCATAGCTAGCGTAGTCGAATCTTACACCGTATCTAGCATAATAGAGTTTTATACCTTATCTATCTAGCATATAGACGTTTTGTACGGTAATGTGGAGGTTTGGTTCATATATAGTAGTGTAGCGGTTTTCATTTTATCAGTGGCGATTAATGACAAATTGAACAATTGATAATTGACGAATTGATATATTATCATTATTCACCCCTGATCGTATCTAGCGTGGTAGAGGTTGACGCCGTATCTAGCATATAGTATACAGGTTTACTCCACCTTCAACGTGTTTTGCAGTGCCGCTAGAAGTAAGAAGTTCTACACAGCCTCTGAGTGACCGCAGGGACGAGCTTTACAACCCCCACCCCCACCACCACTACAGTGAGCGATCACGTGACGCGACGATCACGTGACACGGCCCGCATCGGCTCAGGTTGCCGACTGTGCGACGACTTTTTTACCGTCGGCTACAATAAAACGGTGAGCGACGCTCGCCGTGATGATGTGCCGACCGGCCGACCGACCACGTCGTCGGCATCGCGTACAGACGCGAATTAAATTGTTACGATCCACCCCCAGCCGGGCTATGTGCCATATAAACCATGATTCTATACTATAAACTCGGGGCGAAATGTATCACATGTCCATCTTGATAGCACACGTATATAAGTATAGCATATGTCATGTGTGCCCGCCGTGCGTGGTGGTGGTGCTATCACCAGCTAGGCGGCCATGACCCAGCTTCGACATTTGTCGCGACGAAAAGATTACTTCTTTCACTCATCTCTGTCGCTTTGTCACTGATCGCTATCTCTCACCACCTGAGCTATCACCCCTCGTTACAGTATATAATATATATATATATAGGGGACGTCTGCCTCTTTGTGGTTCCATCCACACGTGTGTGTTTGTAATTCGCGCCCAATATGTTGAGGCATTCTACAACAAAGTCGTAATTGTCGTGCGACCATATGCCTGGCGTGCCAGCCCTGTAGTAGTAACACACCGCGAACGCAAAGCTGGGACAAAAGGTAACAACGAGAGAGCGCGAGAGAGGGGCGGTGAAAGGCGCGCGACACGGGCAGCCTGATGCAAAAGCAAATACCGCAGATATCTGATAACATTGCCGAAGAGATTAGAGTTGGGGATTACCCTCGCTGACCATTCTAGCGACGCGCAGACTACAAACAGCGCATCTGTGCCGCGGCGGCAGCAGCAGCAGCAGCAGTGGCGGCGGCTTACTCGAGTTTTACTAGGTGAATGTAAAGTTCAGCAACCAGGGCTTAGCTGATATAGTAGTATAGTGGTGTGTGTAATGTGGCTAGCGTTGGGGATGAGGACACCGCATGCATACGCGTGTGATTGTATCGGCTGTGGCGCGTGCACACTGCACACGACCCACGTGAGCAGATGCTCGCAGACGTACCGTGGTCACCATCGCCACCATCGCCATCACCGCTGTCATCGTCACCGTCGCCACCATCATCGCCACCGCCATCACCATCATCATCGTCGTTGCCTACATCATTATCGCCACCATCGTAAACACCATCATCAACGCCATCGCCACCACCATCATCATCGTCATCGCCTACATCATTATCGCCACCATTGCCATCACTATCATCGTCGCCATCACAGCCATCGCCACCACTAACAAAATAGCTAGCAATCACCGTCATCGTCACCATCACCGTCACCACCATCGCCATCACCGCTCACTCTCCCATGACATCGTCTGTCACAGTCAACACGCTTAATTAACACGCCGGCTATTATATACGATGAAGTCTATAATGAAGAAATGTCCGACAAGGGCTACACACCTGTAGCTCATATTATCTCCTCAACATGACGTCATAGCACGCAGGTGCTAATTAGGAAACACTCACAACTACCCCCACCCCATGCTCGCGCGTGGGGGGATCATTTGGGAAGGTGTTGGTGGACACCAAATACAATTTGGGTGGGTGTGGGTGGACACCAAATACCATTTGAGAAGGTACTGTGTGGGTGGACACCAAATACCATTTGAGAAGGTACTGTGTGGGTGGACACCAAATACCATTTGGGTAGGTGTGGGTGTGGGTGAGGGTGTGATGTGGCTGGAGATCGCAACAAACACACATACAGTACATGAAGTAGCAGCCCGTTACATATTGGTGATTCTATGGTGTAGTATAGGGAGCGGTCGCTTTGGGGTGAGTGGCAGGATAAACAGCTACGCATGCACTGGGCTGAGTTC